TCAGAAGAACGGGTATGTTTGTTTAAGTAGAACTGGTATGTTTGTTTCAGAAGAACTGGTATGTTTGTTTAAGTAGAACTGGTATGTTTGTTTCAGAAGAACAGGTATGTTTGTTTAAGTAGAACTGGTATCTTTGTTTCAGAAGGACGGGTATGTTTGTTTAAGTAGAACAGGTATCTTTGTTTCAGAAGAACAGGTAAGTTTGTTTCAGAAGAACTGGTATGTTTGTTTCAGAAGAACTGGTATGTTTGTTTCAGAAGGACGGGTATGTTTGTTTAAGTAGAACAGGTATGTTTGTTTCAGAAGAACGGGTATGTTTGTTTCAGAAGACCAGAAATGTTTGTTTCAGAAGGACGGGTATGTTTGTTTAAGTAGAACAGGTATCTTTGTTTCAGAAGAACGGGTATGTTTGTTTAAGTAGAACTGGTATCTTTGTTTCAGAAGAACAGAAATGTTTGTTTAAGTAGAACTGGTATCTTTGTTTCAGAAGAACGGGTATGTTTGTTTAAGTAGAACTGGTATGTTTGTTTCAGAAGGACGGGTATGTTTGTTTAAGTAGAACTGGTATGTTTGTTTCAGAAGAACAGGTATGTTTGTTTCAGAAGAACTGGTATGTTTGTTTAAACATACCCGTTCTTCTGAAACAAACATTTCTGGTCTTCTGAAACAAACATACCTGTTCTACTTAAACAAACATACCCGTCCTTCTGAAACAAACATACCAGTTCTTCTGAAACAAACATACCAGTTCTTCTGAAACAAACCTACCCGTTCTTCTGAAACAAACCTACCCGTTCTTCTGAAACAAGCATACCTGTTCTACTTAAACAAACATACCAGTTCTTCTGAAACAAACATACCTGTTCTTCTGAAACAAACATACCAGTTCTACTTAAACAAACATACCGTTCTTCTGAAACAAAGATACCTGTTCTACTTAAACAAACATACCTGTTCTACTTGTTTAAGTAGAACTGGTATGTTTGTTTCAGAAGAACGGGTAGGTTTGTTTCAGAAGAACTGGTATGTTTGTTTCAGAAGAACTGGTATGTTTGTTTCAGAAGAACTGGTATGTTGAAAGTTACCATATGTTGAAATAAGTATGCTCATATAGTTTCACTTCAATATGTTTTTATAATCCAAGATATGATAAAGATCATATATTAACAACATTTTTGAAGTTTAGAAAGGTGAAGCTGGAAGTTGTGTGTCCAGAGATGTTTATTTTACTGTTTAATGGCTTCCTGTATTTATTACCTATTGTATTTATATTTTACTGTAGTCTGTTAAAACGTGCCGATAGGGGGAAAATTGCCCTAAGAATTCATTACAGTTAAGTGAAGCTTATTCTATTAGGTCGCTTTAGTAGGTTCCACATATACAAACAGTAGTTTTAAGTACGATGTTTAATTTGCCGTTAGGGTTCGCTGTGAACTAGTGGTTAGTTTGTGGGGATGTGTTCCTAGGGGTGTGGAGTTTCACACATGATGTTTAGTACGCCCTCATTTTCAGCTGTGGCCGTGTTATAAAAATGATAGTGTAGTCTGTTGAACCCAAGTTCAAAGGGTCAGATAAACGAGACCTATTGGCTACGTATGTTGCTGGTTGGCTGCCTTCCCTCCGGACAGTAGTTCTAAACAAAGGATATCTGAACCCTAGGGGCCTCTGACCCTAGAGTTATTTTTTGATGACACCTGTCTTAAACTATACCTGTTTCAGCGGTATTATGTTCTATATAAATACATCAATTATGTATATTCATGCTTCTACGAGGAAAAGAAAAGCGAACAGTCAAATCAGTCGTCTTTGCTGTTTTTGAAATAAGCAATGAAAAAAAACAAAAATTCTACCGGAACTGAATCACCGTCAAGAAATGTTATTAATTGTAGGTCACGTGAGCGTGTTAGAAAATGATTCATTGTTTTCAAGGTCACAACCTGTCTCTGAAATCGAAACGTCCTCCTACGATCTGTTGGTTTCTTACATTTCCTGTGCAAGTTAGGGCGTAAACAGCGCACTTTAGTTACAAAACGAAACAAAATTTAACTGTGAAAAATGGTGGTTTTTATAGACGTGTACCCATATATATTTGTATTTTTTCTTGCCCCTGGCCTCACCACGAAAAAACAGTTGAAATGCAAATAATATTAATGTGTGGTATATATGTATATATATTGTTACGTCTCCGTTTGTTAATTAACTCTCCGTAAATTCGTTCCGACGAAACTTTAACGACACAAGTCTTTACTTAATAAAACTGGTTTATTCTTTCCGAGTATAACTTTACCGATACACTCAACTTCAACAATCGCGCTAAACAAACGCTATAACAACGAACATCTACAATACTTCTGACAGCAGTTCAATTACTTACTATCTGTACATACATTACATTACCTTAATCTCGCGTCACGTTGTCCCCTCTTATATATACCAAACTACCCTATATCTAGCAAATACTAGAGCATTCGCCACGTTACGGGATAGTTCTAGAAACGTGGCTTCACTGTAGTCATGTGATCTCGATGACGCAACAATATATAGTTATTTTAGTACTATACAGTCCTATTGTGCCAATGACGTAATCTGTGCATCTTACCTCAGATAAACATAGGAATTTGCAAGTTTAATTAATTGTGAGTTTATGGACTCGTGTTGTGGCTATAAAAGTATCGTCAATAATTCAGCCTGCGTAGCAAGAAGACAAACACAAAAGAAAAAACTTCCTGTGGGGCTGAGTCAGTAAATAACTATATACACTTGTAACTAAAAATACCATAGAAACGCATAGGTATGTAGCTGTAGTGACCACGTGTATGTTGTAGTAAAAATCAGCGTTTCTGAAATAAAGAATACTCACACTGAAAATCAGTGTTTCTGAAATAAAGAATACTCGCACTGAAAATCAGTGTTTCTGAAATAAAGAATACTCACACTGAAAATCATTGTTTCTGAAATAAAGAATACTCACACTGAAAATCAGTGTTTCAGAAATAAAGAATACTCACACTGAAAATCAGTATTTCTGAAATAAAGAATACTCACACTGAAAATCAGTATTTCTGAAATAAAGAATACTCGCACTGAAAATCAGTATTTCTAAAATCGAGAAAGCTTCACTGAAATCCACTATTTTTGAAGTCAAGAAAGCTTCATTTAAAGCAGTTTAATTATGAAATAAACTCAATTTAGATATTATAAAACTATTGAAAAATAATTGATGCTTTACACAGTTGATGTGTACAGTAAGAAATATTTTGTTGGATTCTCCCTCACCTACCTCAGTGTTCTGTGTATTATGTATGTTAGAAAGACGTGGTTGAACAAAGCACGACACTTCTTACCACAATTGCCCCCCCCCCCCCAATGGCACAGCGGCATGTCTGCGGACTTACAGCGCTAGAATCCGGGTTTCGATACCCGTGGTGGGCAGAGCACAACTAGCCCATTGTGTAGCTTTGTGCTTAATTACAAACAAACAAACTTACCACAACCGTCAATTCTGTGTATTATGCTTGTTTGTAGTCAAACAGAAAACTATTTATTGGACTATCTATGCTGCGCCCACCGTGATTATCGAAACCCAATTTTAGCATTATAAGTCACCAAACATACCGTTGAGCCACTGGGGTGTGGATACGTATTTATGTATTTAATTCTATTAAGAAAGACGTGGTTCTTACGTTAACCGACAAGCACCGAGTTTAATTAACTATAACATAAATTATAATGACATTTTCTTCTGCGTGCAGTATGTAATAAAATGTAATGGTACCGTTAGTAACGCTTTTTGGTATTAATGTGGG